CAGGAATGAAATCCTGGCAGTTACTGGTCAGAAGGGCCTGGCACCCTTTGTTTTGTAATTGTAGTGTCTCAGGATAGTGGTGTAGCTGAGACCGGATGCCCAAGCTGCAGCCATAGGCCTGGCCCCTTTTTGCTATTTCACAGCTATTGCATTTTAGCCTAACTGTGTGGCTGAACTAGGGTTGCCATATTTCCACTTCCAAAAAAACCTGACACCTATCAGGGGGCACTTCACACACAACCTGCAGCCCCTCACCCTGCTGTTGCCTCTCACTCCTGACCCTTGGTGCTACCAGTGCCCCTCACTCGCAACCCACAGCCCCCCACCACCCCCAGTGTCCCTCCCAACTTCAGTGAGCACAAGCACCAGCCCTGCCAGCCTGGCCACAGAGCTCCCCACTGCCCTCAAAGCCCCCCTTCACCCCTTTTCTCTGCTATAGAGGCAGGTGCCTCTCCCCCTACTCCCCCCACCCTGATGCAGCCCCAGTGCCCAGGCAGCTTCCCCCAGCACTGACAGGTACCCCCTTCACCTCCACATCTCCTCCAACCCTGGCCCTCCAAGCCTGCTTCCCATCAACTTACCTGCATCCAGCTGCCAAGGCCGCTCGCACTATGATGCCTAGCTGCATGCCAGCTCTGTGTGTGTGTGCATGCAGACACATGTGGTACCCCCTGCCTCTAATCACCCTCCCCCCCACTCCCATTGGCAGAACGGAGCAAAATCCCAGACATTTGTTCAGATTAAAATAAAACAAACAAAAACCACCCAAACGGAGATTAGAGGACCCAAAAAGAGGACATGTCTGGGAAAACCAAGCCATAGGGTAACCCTAAACTGAACCTGAGCCATAGATTTGGCTGGCAGATTTGGGCCAGGGTGGAGCCTGGCATGATTTGAGCCAGGGCTGGCACTCCTTGTTTTTGATCCAGGCCTTAGTGAGGTATAGACCTGGGTGGCTTTTGCTGTGCAATCCCGGCCCAGTGAGATAGGCCGAGGACTTCTTCTGTCCTATTTGTAGTTTGTCCTAACCAAGTACTGAGGTTGGGTGCTAGTTGTAGTTCAGGCCTAAGCCAAAATAGGCTTGACCTTTCCTCCAAGTATTTTGCAGCTTTCTAAACCACAAAAGTGGGATTGGGACTGGGAATTTTGGGATGTGGTATGCTGACTAAAGCCACAATTAACCCTTCACGGTCACCATGAGAAAGTAGAGGTCAGTGCTTTACCACTTCTCCAGGAGCAACAGAAACCCTTGCGATGCAGAAGGACCCATGCACTCAAGCATCTCCTAATGGTGCAGTGAACCCAAGGGAGCACCTCGTAGGGCTCTTTAGTGTGGACCTCCACCTCTAGCCCATTGCTGAAGGACACATATAAGAGTGCAAGCCCCTGGAACTATCCTCTGGGGAGCCCCAATCTCAGACTGCCTGGGTATGATTGAAGCCTACCCAAGAGGGTGTCACCTATAGTTTTTGCTTTGCAGTTAGTGTTTTAAAATTATATTTAGTGGTGGGGGGTTATGCTCTGTAATAAATTGGCGCTTTTTTTTCTATGTTGAAATGGAACCTCAGTAACTCAACCCACCAATTTATCCAGCAGACCTCCACTGCATTTTCTATAAGAATGGAAACTGCAGTAATGTTCACTGTTTACAAGGTAGTTTAATAAACTTTTCATGAAATAGGTAAACAAGAGGAGTTGGGACTACATACATCAAGGAAGCAACTGCTATCCAGCCATACAAGAGCAAAGTTCTAGAAATGCAAATCAAAATACTCCACTCTTACAGAGCACCCCAAGAGCTCCAGTTGCTAACTGTGTGAAATTTTGGCAGCCTTTTCATTTAATTTCAGATTCAGGTGTTTCAACACTTCAAAACACCGAATCCAAAGTTAAATGCAGAGCTCTGAACCAGCTCAGAAATGAAACAGGCCATCTGAAATGTTTCAGAAATTTTCTGAAACAATTCACATGTTTCTGAAACATTCTGGATGTTTCAGAGGCAGGCTTGCAGGGGAAGAGGGAGCGAGGGGGAGAGGGCTGCCCTCATATTGACACCTATAGCTGGCCAGTGACAATGATCTGTCCCAGAGGCTTCTTCCAACCCCAGTGCTGAGGAATTGAACTGGGAGATGGAGAATCAAACTGGGGGCATGTTCAGGTCCCTGAACATTTCCCCAGTTCCTGGTTTGGTTCCCCAGCTCCTGGCTCTTTCCCCCAGATCTCTGATCACTTCCCCCAGCTCTTCCCATGGGGTTGGGACTATTTCCACAGCCAGCAGTGGCAGCTTGCTGAAACCTTGATCAGATCCGGGGGAATGATCAGAGAGCTGGGAATCGAACTGGGAGCTCCTGCTGACTGCTGGAGCTGCCCCAGCTCCCAGGCAATGCACGGCACCCTGCCAAACTGTGCTGCACCCCCATGATGGGGCAGTTGCTGTGCAGGTGCCAGGCAGGGGGTGGTGATTCCCACTGCCCCCCCACCTTGCACTGCGCAGTGGGGCTCTGCCATGAGCCCTCAGAGGCCACAATCGCTACTACCAAAGCCGGTGAGTGCAGGGTTTTAAAAAAAAACAACTCTGTACTCACTGGCTGTGGAGCATGCAGATGACAGCAGGCTGCTGCTGCCTGCTGGGGTCAGTGCCAGTACCTGAGGTTGCCCAGTGCAGCCCATGCCGAGAAGAACCCAGTGCTGGCGCTGGCCCCAGCTGGCAGTGGCAGCCTGCTGTCATCCCACATGCAGATCCAGGGGCCTGTGTTCCCCAGGAGGGCTGCGGGGCTGTGCCAGACTCCTCCCAGGGGCAGCAGGCCCCTGGATCTGTGTGCAGGATCACAGCAGTCTGCCACTGCCGGCAAGTGATATGCATTTGCTTTGAACAGTTTGAGGTGCAGTTTCACAAACCCCCCTGCATCTATCTCCTTGAAACTTAGCAGACTTCATGCCCTCAGCCAGGGCTACCATCCCTGCAGTTTTAACCCCACTCTGCCTTCACACATACGCGTCATGAGTTTTGTTTTGAACAGTTCAAGGTGCAGTTTCCCAGAAACTTCCATAGATATCTCCTTGAAGCTTTGCAGGTTTCATGGACTCATAAGGGGCTACCATCTCTGCAAGCTTCATCCAAATCAGGCAAGAAATAACAAAGTTACAGGAAGTTTTGTGATTCCCCATTATAACCTACAGCTGAAACATCAAAACACCGTCAACATTCAGAAACAGTTTTGGCCTAAATGAAATGGGACAGTGATTCAAAACACCAAAATGAATCACTTTCCCTCTGAAATACCGAATCTGAAATTAAATGAAACACAGCTGTTTGGACAGCCCTATGAAACATTGAAACAAAACACTGTCCCTCTGAAATGCTGAATCCAAAACCTAAATGAAAAGCAGGCATTTTGCACAGCCCTACTTTTCATAAGCAATTGTTTATATAAAATCTACTCAGATACTCAGTGGTGTTCTATTTAACTAACCAGACACAGAATTTGGCTTTGTGTTTATAAAACTGTCTTTTTTTTTAAATTTATAACCAAATCCTTGCACATTATTTAGGGAACATATATTTTCTCCATCTATCAAGAGGAAAAAAGGAAGCAGACAACTCAAACTTGCCTAAGATGATTTTAAAAGATGCTATGACAATCTAAATAGCAGGAGGAATAAAGAACACATTGAGGGTATCATAATAGAAAGCTTCTAACTGTACTTACTGACACAGTGAAGGCTGCACTGTGTGGAATCATAGTTTGTACAAGGACAAACAACACAGCCACCTCCATGCACTTCATCTTCTCAGCAAACAGGTCTGAAGAAGAGGGACCAGGTAAGCCCTTTTTATGGTGTGCTCTGGGAATTTTACAACTGAAATTTCATGCTTAGGAACAGGAATTTACACAAGATTTATTGACCCTTCTAACATGTTTATAATGCCAGAATGGAGTCACGCAGTTGTCGTGACTGAACTACTACAGTGCAAACACCAACTTTTGTTACCTGAAGTAAAAACAATGCACTACTATACACATTTGTATCTCATAAATTATACCCGCTATCTAATCTCTGTTATGCGGGAGATTAGCCAAAAAAGATTAGATACCCAGTTTATAAGTAGATTAATTTCATTGTAAGAGTATAACAATTACAATAATACACCCCTGGAAGGGGAAAAATAGCTGATACTTTTTACTGGACTTGAATCAGTATTTTATTGTAAACTTTCCCAAGAGCTGCTTGGACCATGGCATCCACCTGCCCTTGCTTCTTAGACAGTGGGGAAAAACTAATTCAAGGTAAGCCACAAGGCATTTTTACCACATACACAGCCAGGGGTATTCTGTTGCTGGATTTGTAGCCTGGCACACCTAAACAAAGTGAGAAAGTTCTCGTTTTTTCCTTCCAAAGAGCTGAGTACCTCATCACACTAATCTGGGCTTTCAGAGTTCACCTCAATCAAAGGGGAGTCAGACCTGATTCTGCCCAATTTCCCAGTACAACACTCAAGCTATCACATCACACATCAGTTACTAACTAGTCTCTTCTCTGACACTCCTTTTGAAGCTGGCCTCCTGGGTAACCATGATGAAGAAGTCTGTGGACATAGATGGGAACAAGAGGAATGGAGTAAGGCAGGGGGTGTGTGGGCTTGGTAAGATGGCTGCTCACCTGTAAGATAAGAGGTTGTATATTCTAGCCAGGGTCATTGTTCCCAACAGGACAGAAGATTGCCTCTTGCACAGCTTTCCATCTATTGCTAGGAAGTGAGCAAGGTTTCAGAACGATCTGGGGAAGAGGGGATGGAACTCAGGCCCTCCAGCGCCCCTAGTGATTGCCCCTAACAGCTGAGCTGAGGGAAACAAGGCAGCTGCCTCTTTCCCATCCTAAATCTAACATCATCAGTCATGGGATCCGGACAGCCACTTTTACAGGCATCTGAGTCTGCTACATGTCCACATGTGCACACAGGTAGGGCTACAGCCACTACTGCAAATGCGCTGTCAGTGCAACTTTGTAGTTGCCCAGGCATACAGACCTACTACACAATACCCTCAGAGATTCAATATATCCAGCCACACAATACCCTTGAATGCATAATTCCCAAAAATGCCAAAACTTCTTGATTTAGACACATAGATGTCCAGGAAGGGAACAGAATGTAACCCTTCATTCCCCAGAGAAATCCAGCTCAACCTCCTTCCCAGAGCCTAATGCATAGTGTATTCAGCTTCAACCGAAAAGACATCTAATCTAGGCCCTTCTTAGGCTGAGGAGATTCAAGACCACTGTTCTAACTTCCCAAAGAGCCTATAAGTTGCTTAAGAACACAGGGGAAGCATTCAACTGCTGAAGATGGCCCAGTGAGGCTAGAAGGGGAGGCAAGAGAGAACCTGATTCAGAAACCTATGATGAAGCACTCTGCTTGAAGTGGAGATCCTAGGTTCCTCTCCCTATTCCCAAGCCTATTTTGTTTTTAAACTAATGGCTATCAAATATAAATGCAGAAACAGTCCTGGGAGCAGCAATGGGGTAGGATCTGCTGAGATGTTGTCTAGTCATCATCATTCTTATCCAGTAATAAGGAGATTCCTCTCACACTTGAACACTCAAGTCCTGATGTAAAACTGGTCCATAGACTTTAGCAGTCTTTGATTTTGCTTCTAATTAGCAGGGAACCTGGTTTTCTCTGATTTAAAAAAAAATTGCTAATTTTTGAGTTATAAAAAGTAAACCAAAAATCCACATTCTTCTGTGATCAAAATGAAACACCACTATATATATATATATATTTATTTCTATATATGAGTGGCATTTCATTTTAATCATGGAAAAATACATTCTTCACTTGATTCTTCCACTGTCTTCCTCTGTGATCATAAACAAGTTGCACGCTCCCCATCATTCTCACCCTCTCTGGCTAGGGACAGCAGTTACACACAAACTGATTTAAGTGATTGGAAACTGGTTTAAACCTGTAACAGAACAGAAGTTCAGTGCATATAGACCGGTTTCAAAATGGCTGAAATTGGTTTAAGATAAACCTGGTTGAATGTAGTATTAGACTTAACTGACTTGGCTCAAATAGGTTTATGAAACTTCTGTATCATAGTATCATAGTACTTAGGGTTAGAAGGAACCTAAACAGATTGTCAGGTCTGACCCTCTGCCCCAGGCAGGAACGGGTGCCGGGATCATATCATCCCAGCCAAATATCTGTGCAGCCTCTTCTTGAAGACCCCCAAGGTAGGAGAGAGTACCACCTCACTTGGGAGCCCATTCCAGAGCCTGGAAGCCCTAACTGTAATGTAATGTCTAATGTCCAGCCTGAACCTTTTCTCTAACAGTTTGTGGCCGTTACTCCTAGTAACCCCAGGTGGTGCCTGGGGGAAGAGAGCCTCCCCCAATTCCCGCTGGTCCCCCCTGGTGAGTTTGTAAATGGCCACCAGATCCTCTCTCAGCCTTCTCTTGTGGAGGCTGAATAGATTCAGGCCCTTTAGCTTCTCTTCGTAGGGCCTGCCCCGCTGCCCCTTGACCATGCGAGTGTCCCTCCTCTGGACCCTCTCAATGCTAGCCACATCCTTCTTGAAGTGTGGCACCCAGAACTGGACACAGTACTCAAATTGTGGCCTGACCAATGCCACATAGATGGGAAGGATCACCTCCCTGGACCTGCTTGTGATGCATCTGTAGATGCATGACAAGGTGCGGTTAGCCTTACTGACCGCCTCCTTGCATTGGTGACTCATGTTCATCCTGGAGTCAACGATGACTCCAAGATCCCTTTCTGCCACCATGTTCACAAGGGTGTTCCCCAGCCTATAGGTGTGTTGCTGGTTCCTTCTCCCTAGATGCAGCACCTTGCACCTGTCTGTGTTGAATTCCATCCTATTCTCATCTGCCCACCTCTGTAACCTGTCAAGATGTAGCTGGATTCTGTCCCTCCCCTCCAGCATTCCCACCTTGCCCCACAACTAGGTGTTGCTAGTGAATTTGGACAGCGTGCATTCCACACCCATGTCCAGGTTGCTGATAAAGATGTTGAACAGTACAGGATCCAGGACTGAGCCCTGGGGAACTCCACTGCCCACATCCCTCCAGGTTGAAAATGACCCATCCACTACCACTCTCTGGGTGCAACCATCTAGCCAATTTGCCACCCAGCTGACTGTGTAGGCATCAAAGCCACAGTCACCAACATTTTTTTAAAGAGAATGTGGTGGGAAACAGTGTCAAAGGCCTTCCTCAAGTCCAGGAAGATGACATCCACACCAACACACTCATCCAGGGACTTTGTGACCTGATCATAAAAATAAACCAGGTTAGTCAGCCAGGACCTGCCCTCAATGAGCCCATGTTGGTTGCCCCTGAGTATTACCTCATCTGCTGGGCCCTTGGAGATATGCTCCTTGATAATTTTCTCAAAGGTCTTCTCAGACCCCTTCCTGGTTCAAGTTAAATTACAGTCCCCCAGCATCCTAGCATGCTTTCCAGCCCTGGACTGGCCTGGGCTTGACTGTCTTCTCTAGAAGAGTAGAGTTGGGGGTGGGGGGGAGCAGGAATAACCCTAGGCTGGGGGCTGGGGCCAGGGTGGGCAGTTAAATCCACCTTCCCATGAGTAAAGAGCTGCTCTGCTGCTAAACTTACTGCTGGCTATGACTGTGGACTATGAATCCCAGCAGTACCTGGAAGCAGGAAGAGGAAGTGATGAGCAACCCTGGAGAGTCCTGCTTCTGTGATTTTGGACTGCAAATCCCAGAGACCTTAGGGGCAGAAAGAATAGGAAACAAACACACAGTCCATACTAGCTATGTTCCAGAGAGCCATGCTGTAGTGGCCCCTAGCTTCTGGCCTGAGCCACTGCAGGAATGTGGCTTCACTTCCTGAATCAAAGGTAAATGTGCGTCCAATTGTTTCTCAGTTTAATCTCCACAGCTTAGACTAACCTTCATAGAGTGAATTGATTCAACCTTGGGCTTGTTGACTTAGCCTCTGAGGTCTGGACTCCCAGCAGGTGGCTAAAGAGTAGCTGCAGGAGAGCTAGGTAGGCAAGTAATCAACCTCTGGTACTAAAGGGTAGGACCAAGCAACAGACCTAAAGGGCTTCAAGACTTCAGAAAGCAGCTTACCAAAGACCTTCTTAGCTGCAAGGCTGCCTGAATAGAAGAAGCTGACCACAGATCTGTAAGTCTGCTTACTAGGAGGCAAGCTATAGAGGTTGGCTAATGGAAACCCCCATACCTGACTTTGAGAAGCAGAGATCAGGTGACCAGAAGAGGGAAGTGACAGGGGATATATAAGACTTGTCCCAGGCCTGGAATAGTTCTGTCCTTGATTTTGAAGAAGGATGGAGCTCTGGTGAGCTCTCACAAAAGATGCATAGTTTAGGTTCCATAGTTGTTTTTCTTTGACTTTGTGTTTTCTCTGTGAGGCTTAGGAATGGCCTCAGGGGAGATTGGAGGCCACAGTGGATGCCTGAAGGCACTCCATGATGTGAGTTGCAAGCATAGTGTCAGGCAGGTAGAAGCCAGGTGGAGCCAGGAGCTCTGACAGCTAAAATATGGTTGGGGCCAGCTGCAAAAAGTAAAACCTGAGAAACATGGCCATGGATATGAAGCAGGCTGGAAGCTATGACTTGTGCCAGTAAGGCATGGAGTATTTTTAAATTAGTGAGTTTGGGACACTGAGGCAGGACTGGGGGTCCAATACAATGCAGTGTGACAGGGCAAGGGGTCCAGAAGGAACAGAGAGAGAGAGAGAGAGAGAGAGAGAAAGAAACTAAGGCTAGGGACAGAAGTTGCACATAAATCAGTTTAAGTGATCATAAAATAGTTTAAACATGTCACAGAACTTAATTTCAGTGCACACAAACCAGTTTCAAAATAGCCAAAATTGATTTACGATAAACCTGGTTGAATGTAGCATCATACTTAGCTGATTTGGGTCAACAAGTTAGGCTCCAGGAGAGGTGAGAGATGCGTGGGTGAAAGCCCACTGCACCCCTACTCCTTTGAAGCCCCCCAGAGACTCCCCAACAGCCACGGAGCCCCCCGCCAAACCCCAGCACAGCCGGAGGTAAGCGGGGCCGGTGGTGGGAGGGGGTTAACCATTAGAGAGTCGGAGGAAGTGGCTGAGTGGGAGCCGGGCCGGGTCTCACCCTGCCCAGGCCCCTACTTGGCCCAGCCCCCCAGGGAGAGAGAGAGGTAGGGGGAGGGTACTTACCAGTCCCTCTCCAGTGGGGCAAGGTCCCCCAAATCCCAGGCAGGGCCCCCTCTAGCCTCAGAGCAGTTTCATCGATGGCAGGCCCACTGTGCATGCGTATAGTTTAAAAGGGCCTGCCAACAGCAAAAAAGCCTCAGTTGGGCTCTAGAAGTGGTGAGAGATGCGCAGGGGAAAGCCTGCTGTGCTCCCACTCCCCCAAAGCCCCCCAGAGACACCCCGCCCAGAAGCTATGGAGTCCCCCGCTGACCCTCAGCACAGCTGGAGGTAAGCAGAGCCAGTGGTGGGAGGGGGTTAACCCTTAGAGAGTGGGAGGAGGCGGCTGAGTGGGAGCTGGGCCGGGGGGGACACTTGCCTGCATGTACACAAATGCCAGGAGCTTGGGGAATAAGCAGGAGGAACTCATCCTCCTGCTTAACGCAAATAATTATGACATCATAGGGATAGCGGAGACCTGGTGGGACTCCACCCATGACTGGACCATGGTTATAGATGGCTATATCTTGCACAGGAGAGATCGTGTAGATAAAAGGGGCGGGGGTGTAGCTCTCTATGTTCAGAAAAGCTATGCGTCCCTGCAAGCTGATGTTGGTGACCAGGATGGACAACTGGAGACCTTCTGAGTTAAAATTCATGGGGAACATGGCACAGGGGATACAATGGTGGGAGTCTACTACAGACCCCCACCCAAAGTCAAGAGCGGCTGTGGTCGCATGCTCCAGGACCATGGTTGTCATGGGTGACTTCAGTTACCCAGACATCTTGTGGGAGGATCACTCAGCAAAATCCGAGCAGTCACAAAGCTTCCTGTCATGCGTGGATGACCTCTACCTGACTCTAGAAGTCTACAGGCCAATGAGAGGTAAAGCACTGCTAGACCTGGTACTGGCTACTAGGGATGACCTAATTGGTAACCTAGTGATTGATGGGAAGCTGAGTGACAGCGATCATGAGCTGATCATCTTCACCATCCGCCGTAAAGCTGGCAAGTCAGTCAGCAACACTGAAGTCCTTGACTTCAAGAAAGCCAACTTTGACAAGCTCAGGAGGCTTGTCAGTGACGCCCTAAGGGACCATGACCACAGGGGGAGGGGAGTCCAGGAATAGATTTCATAGATTTCATAGACATCAGGGCTGGAAGGGACCTCGGAAGATCATCGAGTCCAGCCCCCCGCCCAAAGGGCAGGAAGTCAGCTGGGGTCATAGGATCCCAGCAAGATAAGCATCCAGTTTCATCTTGAAGGTGTTCAATGAAGGCGCTTCAACCACCTCCGGTGGCAGGCTGTTCCAGACCTTGGGGGCTCGGACAGTAAAGAAATTCTTCCTTATGTCCAGCCTGAAACGATCTTGAAGTAGTTTGTGACCATTCAACCTCGTCATCCCTTGGGGCGCTCTGGTGAACAAACGTTCCCCCAGATGCTGGTGGTCACCCCTGATAAACTTGTAGGTGGCCATCAGATCACCCCTGAGCCTGCGCTTTTTCAGGCTAAAGAGCCCCAGGGCTCTCAGCCTGTCATCGTAGGGTCTGCTTCCCTGACCTCTGATCATGCGCGTGGCTCTTCTCTGGACTCTCTCAAGCTTCTCCACATCCTTTTTGAATTGTGGAGCCCAAAACTGGACACAGTACTCCAGCTGCGGCCTCACTAAGGCCGAGTACAGGGGGAGAATGACGTCCCGGGATTTGCTTGAGAGACGTCCCGGGATTTGCTTGAGACGTCCCGGGATTTGCTTGAGATCATCGAGTCTGACCCCCTGCATAGGCAGG